AATTGCAAAACCAAGGAAACGCTTCCCACAGGAGGTGAGATGCTTCCTGGGCTAGCCTGTTACTGCCAGGGGTCACCAGCCTGTGGGCAGGACTCCCTGAATGGCCAGATCTTATCTAGTGACATGTAGTCCAACATCCTTGTCTTAAAATAAAAATTGACCACCAAGAGCCTTATAACTTAATTTTAAAATAATGTATCGCTTAGTAAATGCTTTAGTGATTACATTTCATGAGATAGAGTCTGTCCGATCAGATCAGCGATTCCTTCTAGGGTCCCTGCTCAATATCTGAGAGTTTTTGGTGAGCGAATGGAGTGGAAAGTTAAGGAGTGCTTGTGTAGCCCCACGCGTGTTTCACAGCAGTCTCGGCTCACACCCTCGGGCACTGGGCTGGGTAATAGCAGTGCCCAGTGGAAGGCCGCCCGGATCTCCAAGGACTGACCACTCCCACACAGCGTGGACTCCCTGATCCCTGCAGCTGCCGGCCTGGACACTTCCCAGGGGTGTGTTCTGTGTGCACAGGAGTCTCATGCTTCAGGAGATACCATCAGCCTTCAACACGCAAGAGTTGGTGGGTGACCATCCCTTCCTCCCCTCTGAATGGGATGACTGAGGCGCGCCCCGCCCTGGCTCCCAGGGAACCGCGGTGCGCTCGGTACCAGTCCAAAGGCTTTGCTGCTCGTGTCTTGGCTTCCTCCCCTTCTCCTCTCACCTCTCCCCTGTCGTGCTCCTTGGGACCATCTCCAGACTGGGCAGTTGGCGTCCACGTCCTTGTCTGGGATCTGCTTCTGGGAGAACAAAACGAAGGGGAAAAGCTAGCCGGATCTGGTCTTCTGACCTGATCTCATTTTAGGATGTCACAAGGCAGAAGGCACCAGGGACAGAAGGGGCTGACCTGTGTGTATTTGTACCTTGTCAAGATGCTGACGGGTGTGTGAAGTTGAGGGCTTAAGCAAAAGTGTGCGCAGGCCATCACGGCTCTGTGTGCAGGTGGGTGTGCACTTAGCTGTGCACAGGAGGAATCTGTGTGGCATGCACACTTCACAAAACAAGGCTCTGTGGATACGAGCAGCTTGGGCTCTGGGACTGTAGTCTGCCGACCCATGGTTTAGAGGATAGGAAGAAGTTCTGTGAAAGAGAGAGAGAGGAAAATGCACAAAGATCAGGAACTCAGAGGGAATAAAACCAGCCTAATTTATCAAAAACTCTTTTTTTCCTGGGGTGGTAATAAATAATGCTGTACCAGAAGCTAACTTTTATTAATGACTTACCATAAGCCAAGCATTGGGCTAAATGTTTTGCACGGATTGGCCTTTATTTCTGGCTCTCCCTCTGGGTTTGCGAGGGCCTGGTGTTCTTGATAAAAAGAGCAGAAGAAGCTAAGGTAGACAGGGAAAGGTGGCGGAGGTCACAGTACTGCTGGCACCTGGCCAAAGACACAGAGCCCGGGACGGCAGCGCGTGGCCTCTGTCCTTCATGCCACTGTTACAGACTTTTCCCAAAATGCATTGATTTTGTTTTCCAAGTGGGGTCGGATTTCTTGACTCAGCCCAGGAACCCTCCAGATGGATGGCAAGGCGTCTTTTGGGTTTCTCCTGGGGCTATTTTGTAAGGAATAAAAGAAAAAGAGTGAGGTATTTAAATTATTCAGGGATATTGGTTTAGAACAGATAGAGTGAAGAACATTTTTTATTCATATTGGAAGTGAGTCTGTTGTGTGTAATTTTTCGCTCACTGAGATGGAGAGAGAACACAGCACCGATCTTACAATGTGAAATATGAATTTAGATGACATTTTGAGAAAACTGATAAACACCTCATTCCACAATTGGACTTAACTTGCCCGCGAAAATTCTTTTGCAGCCCATAAATGATATGGTACAATGTGAAATTATACAGATAAGTGGACCAAGTCTAATGGAATATTAAAAATACACAACACACCAGTGAAATAATAATTTTCTTTCACGAAAGTTTCCATTTCTCAAAAATGCTATCAGGAAATTAGAGCTCTCTGGACGGCTGACAGTAACCCTCAGAAGAAGGAATGGTTGGACTTGTGAAGTTCTTCCTGCGTTTGTGGATGTGGGTGTCTTCACGGCCTTAGAAAAGCCAGGCACAGAGGGAATCAATAATATAGCTTACCTTTTCCCAGGGTTTGAAATTTCATACAAAATTCCCGCTCAAAAAGTGGGGAAACAGAGAGATCACCAAATTGTTACTGTACCAAGCCAGGACATAGAGGAACAGAACTGCCAACATCGCTATTAGCTTGGTCATCATTACTGCCTCCTTCTCATAAAAGGAAGGACTGTTCGCACACTCAGACACACACACACACACACACACACAGGCATAATCTCAGGGTAATCAAAACTGAGTGACTGTAACCACATGAACCAGGTCGTTACCCTCAGCTTGCAGTAAAAGTTCTGATACAGATAAACATCGCGTAAGTCAGTAGAAGATGGTAAAAAAAAAAAAGAAAAAAGAAAAAGAAAAGAAAATCACAATTGCGGCAGGAGACCTAATGAAAAATAAAGATACAAAAGTGAAAACAGAAGAGGTGAACATATTAAAATGTTTAATAAGAAAAAAGCCCAACAATAGCCAAGGAGTGAGGCCCTGAGATCCGTAGCTTCCCAGAGCTAAGGACTGGGCAAACCTGTTCAACCTCTTGGACTCAGAGAGACTCATAAAAGAAGCTGCCCCATGGGCCTAGTGCCTGATGAGTGGTCTCAGCACTTGGTACCATAAGTAAATGTCAGCTGAAAGCACTGGACCTCCTTTAAAAAAAAACCCAGGAAGTTCTTCTGGGCAGGAATATGTTCCACATGGACCTTCCAGGGGACATTGATCCCAGCAGTGGTTCTCCAGGGTGGCCAGAAGCAATTGCATTACCTGAGGACCTGATAGAAAGCTAATTCTCAGGCCTGCCCAGACCTCCTACCTCAGAACCTTGTGGTAGGGACCTTTGTCTGTGTTTCAATGAAGCCCCAAGAGAAGTCTGCACTAAAATCTGAGAACCTCTGATCAGTCCCAGAAGATTTTGCATCCCTGATCCTAAGCCACCAACTATATCCATAAAATATTTCACAAATTAAGCAAAAATAGAGGATGAAAGAAAAGCATGGACTGAACCATATAGTAAGCCCAGGGATTATGCTAGTAAATAATTCAAGAATTATCTATGAGCTTGTAATCCCTGCCAGGATTGTGAGGAAGTGGATTTGGAAACACAATAGGTTGAGTTGGATTAATTTGTTTTCCATGCTGCAAAACCTGGAGCAAAATGGTCAGGTCTGAATGTGACCCTGGTCACACGGTCTCTGACTTGGACCCTGTCTACGCAGTGCCATACCGGAAGAATGGCAGCCTAGGACCGGAAATTCTCCTCGCTTAGAAAGGCCAGGACTCCTGTAACAGATCCCTGTATCAGTGGCACTGTGTTCCTGGAAAACTTCTCCAAAAGGTGCAAACCCCTCTGTAAAGGGCACCTTCTGCCAAGTCCCACACATCCTTTTCCACCAGTCCCTCTCCACACTCCAGGTAGGGGCTAAAGACACAGACAAAAATTACAGGGAAGTGAAAAGCAAAAGAGCTAAGGGAATGTTTTTGGCCAAAACTTGTCTCGTTTTTCTAAATAGGGATTGTCTCAAAGGTTAAAGAAAAATGAAAGAATTGACAGTGGAGTGAAAATATCTCACATGCTCTGTAGGAACACGACTTGGGCAAGAGTCAGTTACTAACGTGGCCGGGGTTCATTGTGTTTTAACAACATGACAGGTGCTGCCCTTGTGTTAACATCCACTCACATGCACCTCATCCTCATAGCCACCCTCTGCAGTGCACATCATTTCTGCATTTTGTACAGGTTCAATGGTGTCCTCAGCCCCAAATTCATGTCTCTCTGGAGCCTCAGAATGTGACCTGATTTAGAAATGGGCTCTTTGCAGACGAAGTCAGTTAAGATGAAATCATGCTGGGTTAGGCAGACTCTACATGCAATGACTATATTCTCATAAGAAAGAGAGAGGTGTGAAGACACAAGGGGGCATGCCAGGTGAAGACAGAGGGAGAGATTGGAGTGATGAAGGCCAAGAATCATGAGCAGCTACCAAAAATCGGGAACAGCCAGGGTGGGTGGGTGCTCCCTCGAGTGTCCAGAGGAACCGACCCTGCCCACACCTTGACTCTGGACTTCGGGCCTCCAGCACTCTGGGAGAATCCATTTCTGTTGTCTTAAGAGGACCAGTGCATGGTGCTTTACCCATGGCAGCCCTGGGAAGTTGATGCATCCCGAGGTGGAGGTTCAGAAATGCTGTTGAAAGGAGTCATCTCCTTCCAAGGCTCTCACAGCAGGGGCGGTGCATCCAGAGCCTGCCCAGCACCCCTATTCCATCTCCAGTATCCTCGGGTCAACGGGGTGAGGGGGCTGTGGCCAGTCACTTCCCATTGCTGGGTTCTAGTTCCCTCCTGCAGAAGTCCGGACTTCACACACACACACACACACACACACACACACACACTGAAATTTGGCCTTTCCTGTTTAAACATGGCTCTCTCTCCGCACTGACTTGGGAGTTACTGTCATTTTATGGACTCTGGAAGAGTTAATGAGCAAAAATAAACAGGCTGGATGGCTTCTCATTTCAATGTCTGCACATGGGCACGTTCATGGATGACAAGTTGGAGGGAGTCTGTACTGGGGGAGAAACTTTATACCGCATCGTAATTTCCCTTGATACAAGCTAGGGAGATGCCAGTTAGATTCCCTGGGGTGAATGACTAGGAAATTGCCCCAACTGTCAAGGTTTTCGAGTTTAAAACAATGTGAAATATCTCAAGTGCTTAGAGTATTTAGGTGTCACAATGGAGATGAGATGCTACCAAAATAGGAGAACCGGGGTTTTTATTAAGCAGGAAAAAAAAACACATTCTTTTTCCAAAAGGTGCAATATTTAATTAACTCCATGAAGAAATTAAAAACCCAGCAAAGTACTCATTTTGTTTAGAAATAAAATAAAATCATAAACTTCTTATATGTATTCGCGTTCTCGTTAGCCCTAAGAGATGGCGTGTATACATGTACATGTACAACGAAAAAGGTAAGCCAGAAGAAGAAATCACAAGCCAATGCTTGGGTGTAATATTATCTCGTTATCCATGTTCTTTATATCGGTTGAGTTGTTTTCATTTCTACTACAACCCAGAAAATTAATACCAAAATTGTTCCTTTTGGTTTATTAAAAGCTTTGCTTTTCCAAGTCCCTGTCCAAGAGCATGTGATGAGTTATTACCTTTGCCATAAAAGCGCGTGCCATCGAGGGGAACCCTCGGGGAGCTTCTGACATTTGTTGACTCAGAGGTGTGGGTAGAAAGTGTCTTCCAAGTAGACTTCACTGTATGAAATTTCTCTTGGTAAGAGCCAGAGCAGAAGCCAGAATGATCCAGCGCTGAGTCTCTTCCCCTCAGAGAGGGAGCATCCTGCGATTGTGAGGTCTTGGGCTAAGCTTCCATGCCATCAGTCTTTGCAGATACTTCATTTGGTTCTAGCTCACAAACATGGAACCAACATGTAGAAAGCCAGTGTGTATGTATGGCAGAATCAAGAAGCCAAGGATCTGACTTCTTTTGTGTCTTTGAGTTGGAGCTGTACTCCTCAGAGACCAGTTTATAGGGAACTGTTCCTCTCAGTGTGAGCTGTGCACAGCCTCACAGGAGAAGCCTCTCCTACCCCAGGTTTGGGACTTTGTTGTGAGAGCTCCCTGACTCGTACCAAGGAAGGTCACTCTCCGAAGTGTCCTTCCTCATATTTACAAAAGCATTAATCAGGAGACCCTTTTTAAGCACCTGTTCGTCACCAGGCACTATATTTGAAAATGAGAGTAGAGTGACCAAGACAACTGCACCTCTGTCATCAGGAAGTTTGTGCTTAGCAGAGAACACGATAACAGAGCGTCTCAGATGCTCTGTCCGTCACCTATGGTGGTTTTGGACGGACACTGGAGTGACTGTAAAACAGGTGGCTCTGAGCTGGGGAAACCCCAGACAGCTTCTGGAGGAAGTGTCTTATCCTTCAGGACCCAAAGATTGTTAGGCAAGGAGGCTGCAGGGGTGGTAATGGGAGCAAAAGTATTGCAGAGGAGGTACCAATGCCTGTGAGAAGTTAGTGGCATATTTAGGAAACTAAAAGACATCTAGAGGTGTCTTCTGTCATGGTGTCCTGGATAACAGTCCAGTAATGCTAAAGGGGGAAATGACATAAGTTCCCGGAATCTCTTGGTAATCCCAGAAGGATTCTTCGGGGTTGTTGGTTGTGGCCAGATCTTCTACTGGACACAGCCAGTTCCAGCACAAAAGGGCAATCAGAAGGATGACTCTGAGAGGGTTCTAGAGCAGGGTAAACTGGGAGTCCTTACAGGAGAGTTCAGGAATGTAAGCTGGCCCAAAGAGGGTCAATAGCAGATTGCCACGTAGTGTTTCTACCCAGGATGCTGAAAAGGTCTGGAAACAGTGTGATGGTTACAATGTTCTCAGTGTCACTGAATTGTACACATAAAAAAGGTTCAAATGGCAGAACCCTGCTATAATTTGGCAAACAGCAGGTTGCCAATCTAAAAGCAAAGGTGATTTATTAGTCAGGGCTAGGTGAGATTACGCTGCAGCAGCAAGTCAACCCTCAAATGGAGCGGATGTAACACAAAAGTTTCTTTCTAGTTGAAGCCCAAGTAAGTCTGGGGAGCACTGCCAATGTAGCCATTAAGGAACCCAGGCTGGCAGAGGCCTCTCTACCAACAGCATGTGTGACACGTGGGTCTCCATACCATGCACAAAAAATGGTCTGGGCCCCTGCTGCTTCGGTGATGGGCACCAGCTGTTCGACACTTCAGCCTGAAGCAGGGCTTCCCATTGGCTGGAGCCAGTCCCATGGCAAATGAGCAAGGTGAGGGTACCCACAGACAGTCACCAAGAAGTGACCATCCCTGGGAGACAGTGAAAACTGTGTGGGAAACATGAAGATGGATCCAAAGGGCAGAAAGTCTGAAGGAGACAGGGAATTGCCAAGAGTCTATAATGACGTGATGCAGGACCAAGTAAGACGTGGATGAGGGAAATTGCCCATAGGCTTTGTTTCGGCAGCCATCACCATAGCGTGCAGAGTGTGTTCACCAAATGCTAAGCACTGGGCTTCACATGGTTCCTCTCGTTTCATTTTCATGACAACCCTCTGGACAGGCACAGTTATTATCCCATTTTACAGATGAGAAAACTGAACCCAGAGGATGAAAAAATGAACCCCAGACCCTGCAGTGCCGGGACATGTTGATCCCAGGCAGCCAGTCATTTGTCAGAGACACTAAACTTCACCATTGTTCTTTGGTGATAGCTTCTAGTCAGCTTAGAATCTGGAGGGCTGGAGAATGGAGTTTGGAGGAAATGTGTTGGAAACCTGGGGTTGTTTAGCTAGGTGAGGGAGCAGTCTCTGGCAGGGGTGGGAAGGGAGATGCCAGGTGACTTGTTTCTACCAAATGAGATCACTTCCAGAAACATGGTCAGAAATGAAGACTCTCGGGGATGATATCAGAGCCCAGTTGTAACCAAGGGGCTTCATGAGGCAACTTGCAATGTGTGAACGCAGGACAGCCTCCAGCTCAGAGCCTACTGAAGAGGGGCGAGCGGCTTCAGTCACAGTCCGGATACACATAGAGAGAGCCAGCGCTTCTGCAAGAACGAACTCCATGTCATGCCTCATGTGGTGGAATTTCTGTGAGCTAACAGAGAGAAAATCAGCCACTTTAACTATAAAACCATGAATAAGAGATTAATCCACTTAAAAGTTTTGAGACGCTTTGCTCAGGAGCCAGAGAAGTTGCCCAGAAAAATGAATTAAAGCCATTTCTAAAATATCTGAAAGGGAACGTTTTTGTTGAACCTGAAATTTTCTAGACAAGAGATAATGGAAGCTCATCTAGGGCTGCGGGCTGGGAGGGAATGAGGGCCCCCGTACAAGCAGCATTGCAGAGATGCAGCCCTTCACCTTTGGCAAAGAGAACAAGAGGAATTAAAAAACGCGTGAGGACAGTTTTTTACAGCCAGGGTCAGAGGAAGGGATGGAGACTTCAGAAAGGAAATGTGAAGTCCCCTGTTGGCTACGTTGAGATTGAAGAAAATGTATGAAAAGAATTCAGGTGAGAGCAGACAGCAAGCCGTAGGAAAGTAAAGATCTGAAGTTTGGGGAGAGGTTCAGGACCTTGGGGCTTAAGCCTGAGAAGCTCAAAATGTATCAGTGCCTGTATAAATAGAATTAAAATACTGACATCAGGTGCTGACCAAGAGACGGGACAATGGGGGCTCATGCATTTTGCTGGCAGGAGTGTTTTTTAAATCACTTTGGTATTAAGTGTTTGGTATTATCTATTAAAGCCCAGTTGTTCATCTGTCCTGTGACCCAGCAGTTCAGTCCATTGATGTGTGCACAGGAGAGCTGAATGTTTATATCCAACAAAGACACACACAGAGGTTTTCAGCAATGTTTTCATAATAGATCCACACTGGAAACAGCATGCATGCCTATCCCTGGCAGAGTAGATCAAAACGTTGAGTCTGCAGTGATGAAAAGGAATGAACTGTCACATGCAGCATGGGTGCCACCCCTGGGCTCAATGTCAAGCAGAGGAAGCCGGGTATACAGAGTATATTCGGTGTGACTTCACTTTCATGAAGTTCAAAACTGATTTGCAGTGGTAGAGGTCAGAAGAGTGACTACCTCAGAGGAATAGCAATTAGGAGAGGACCTAAGAGAGCCTCCTGGGAATATGATGCTCTGTATCTTAATCCTGATACACGGCCAGCCCTTTATACCCTGGCTTCCACATCCCCAGATTCAACCAGCCACAGGCACCTGGAGAAAAATTGTGCCTGTACTATTGCCTTAGTTATTTTTCTCTCATCGCTGGGACAAAATACCCAACACTCTGAGTTAAAGGTGAAAGGGCTTATTTAGCTCACAGTTTGTAGAGGTTTCAGTCCATAATGAGCTGGCTCCAAGGCAGAGTGGCATCAGAGGAGAAACAGTTGATGGTGCCCACATGGTAGCAAAAGCGACAAGGGAGAAGAAAGACAAGCTTCCTTCTGTCCCTTATATTGTACCGAGGCTACTGGGATTAGAGGGATGCCAAGCCAGTCAGTGTACTGGTTTAGTAGTCACATACTCTTAATCCCAGCATCACACACTCTAGATTCAGCCACCTCTGAAAAAGCCCCACCTAAGACTGCACGAGGCTTTGAGAGACAACTAGACACAGACCATAATAACAACAGAGGTACAGACTTTTATTCTTGTACACTGTTCTCTAAACAATACCGTATAACCACTATTTACATAGCGTTTGCATTACCTTAGACATTGTGAGTAAGCTAGAGACTATTTAAAGTATAGAGGAGGACATGCATAGATTACATGCAAATACTACGCCATTTGTAAGGGAGGTGATCACCTGCAGGTTCTGTTATTCTTGAGAGGTCGGGGAGCCACTCCCCATAGATACTGGAGGATAACTCTGTACTTCAGTAGGCTGGAGAGTTTGCCCCTGGGAAAGTACTTGCACTGTGCTTAGTCTTGGGGACCTAATACATAATATGCTTAAGCAAAAAATAATGTGAGTCTCGTTATTACTCCAAGTGATATCTACGGGTGGTGTTGCAGCCTGGTTCTCATTCACATACGATTTAGCAGAAACATATGATCTCTCCACTTGATTATCATTATGGTTATGGTTTCTCAGTCTGTACCACACTTGTACGAATGCAGCCCATCAATGTTAGAGCCAGATGGAGGCCTGGCCAGCTTTTCAGAGGGTGCTGAGGTCCTATAGGGACCAACTCGGGACCTGCCCAGCTTAAAGGCATCATCCAAGTCAGAAAAATCTCTCAAAAGCAGAGCCCTGGGCTGTGCCACCAAATGGAGGTTTCCCAGGGAAAACTTCTTAGGTTTCAAAGACCATCTTCCAAACTTTAGTTTTCAAAATGTGCTCCCATAATTTTGCCACATCTAATATCCTCCTCTAACGCTTACTTCAAGTGCTCTTTAAAACATCATCCTTTGTTTTACTTTAGTGAAGCTGTGTGAGTAAGAAATGCCATGTCACCACCAGGCCGCTGTGGATGGAAACTGGCATTTTGCTGTCCAGTATTAAATTTAGATCACTGTATGCACTGACTTGTGTATTGGCTCTCGGTGATTATTTCACAACTTCTTAGGTTCCTTCCAGCCTTAAAGCTTTAAGACTTTATATTACAATCAGTCATCCTGTATGACCCTGAGGTCTTTCAAGAGACCTTTGCTCTTTGAAGTTTAGAAAGAAGCAGCAAAAAGAGAATGGAAAAACTAACAATCTTTAAAAATCCCTGAATTCTTGGGATTTTTGTGCCAGTGTTAGGAGTGACAGCCAGGCAGTCCTCGGCAAGGTCCTTAGCACTGTATCCACACCAACTTAATGCTAACTCCAACAATAACAAGCAGGGTAGACACAGCTTGTCCTGTGGTCTACTGTGAGCATGGGATGACAAGATTGTCTCAGTCCCTCGTGAGGTGTAAAGGTGTGTGAAAGTCTTATAAATATTGATGTGATCACTGGCTGCTGCTGCTGGATATTAGAGAAATCAATCTAAATTGTATATGCAGCAACAGCCACCCACTGAAAAGAACATGAATAATCTGAGACTTGTTTGTTTTTCCATGAAACATGGGCCAGATGAGGGACAGCGCTGGCTCCAGAGTTCCACAGATCCAGTTAGTGCTGGTTCTGCCACTGGCCTTGAGCTGAGTACCCTTGAGAGAGAAGCTCACCCTCTTAGGACTTCAGTATCCTCACCCATACAGTGGGGTCGCTAGTCATGCTCAGTGAGGCTGCTGAAGTTTAAATGAAAGGGCATATTGTGCACTTGGAAAGTGTGGTTATTTTTCAAGTGATCTTCTGAGAACAGGGCACCCCATGTGACTGATGCAGGAAGAGCCCATCAGCCACCAAATTCCTGCACCCGGCTGCTGGGCTCCTCATTTCCGATTACAGTCCGCACACCTGGTCTTCCCTCGCTGCAGTGGACCGGGCTCGGGAGGGGTCCACTCCAGCCTGGGCTTTGATGCCCTAACAAAACCCCCGCAGGCAGGCTTCCTAGTGTTGCCTTGGAGCCATCGTAGTGGATCACGTCAAAGTGCACCCTGCCATTTTTTAAAGGCGTGTATTATTTATTTGTTTGAGTATATACATCCATCTTATGTCAATTCGCGTTATGGACTGTCACAAGTTAAGATGAGTATATGCAATAAAGCATATTGGGCAAGAAAGTTCCACAGCACAATATGCATCTGTGGAGTTTCTAATCTTCATAATTCAGAGGGTGCCAACGAGACCGGGTCTCTGTTATAGGCTTGAAGCGGGTGATATTTCACTTTAAAAAATGTAACCATTTTTGAATTACAGGAGCGCAAAAATGGTCTGTGGCCAATAAATGTCTAGCTGTATATTGTTCCATAAGTGAAATACAAAAGCGCAGGAAGGCAGCTGAGTGCACTGGGTCGTAAACACCTGTGGCATCATCGCTTCTCACCAGCTGCTCGGCAACACTAAGTTCACAGCCCCTGGCCTCTCGCTATGTCCAGGGGCTGACAGATGGTGCCCAGCCGGCCTGGATTCCAGCCTGGGGACCTGCTTTCCTCCAGAGCTCACCACGGAGGCTGTTTGGCCCCATGTGCAGGTCCCAAGACCTCAACCCCAAGGCCTTCGAAAGGGTTTTCCCCAGCACTTCCAAACACAGCCCCAGAACTCCCACCCCCGGCTGTTCTGAGGGAGAGCCCGGCTAGCTGCAAAGTCCCATTGAGACTCGGGCTGCTAGCAGAGCTGCTTCTTCTGCCTGGAACTTCCTGCCTTCCTGTCTTCGCTAAGTGGTATCTGTCCTGGCTGTAATGTCACTCCCCTCCGACCCCCGCACTGCCTGTCGCATCTGCAGGGTGCCCATCATAGTTCCTTCTTCCTGGGGCACCCATCCCAGCCATGTCTAAATTAGTAAGAAGGACCTGATGTGTCTCCCCGTCAGTGTGCCGTGAGCACAGGACTCGTGACTGCCGTGCGCACCCTGCAGCTCCAGCGCCCAGCTCTGTGCCAGCGTGTTCATCAAAGGTGCCCAGTTAGCAGCCTCCAGCTAAGGAGGCAAGGATGGAGGAGCAAGGCTGGCTGTCTTGGCTGAGCTGTCGCACTTTGAACTAGAGGGCTGAATCCTCTCTGTATGCACAAGCTCAGTCCCTGTCCCATATGCCCTGCCCTTTCCACTTTCCTGAGACAGAGGCTCACATCTTACCCAGAATCTACCGGGTGGCCTTCACCCTGCCAAACCATGCTCCCTGCCTCAGTACTGCCTGCCATATATCTGTACTCAGGAAGTCCTTCTCAGCCCCCTGGTCGTGCCTTTATCTGCCCCCGACCCCCGTTATTCAGAGGTGGACTCTCCATGTCAACTGCCCTGCACTTTGGCAGCTGTCCCGGGCTCTCTGCCCCTCAGATTCTCTCTCAGTGGTGTGTCCTTGGGCTCATCCCAGACCCTGCCTGCTTCCGCACCCTGCTGAGTTGCTGCAAGTCCCCACTAGACATTGAAAGAAGGAAACCCCATTCCAAACTCTTACTGTACCATGACGTAAGCCCCTAGAAGTCTCATTTTTCCAGAGGATATGGCAGCTGGAACCTGTGTGAGGGCTCTAGCATGGAGCATTGCTTTCTCTGCCCAAACGCAAGGGGAGAACCTGCTGGGCCACCCAAGGCACCAGGGTAACTGACACCTTCAACCCAAGATCCTCGGCTCATAGCTCCCTCTCACTCACTCTGCAGTCCACCCACAGGAGGAGCATATTGTTTCAGTGGTGTAAAGTAACGAACCAGACACCCAGAGAGTTGACATGTCGCTATATCTGTCACCACCTTACCATCCAATAGATTTGTTTTCACTGAGAAGCTTGTGGATTTGCATTACGCACAGTTAAGAGAATGAATAATGCATTATTAGAAGAATAAATCAGCATATGATATGCACAGGTAATAAATTCATGCCAAGGCCAGTGAAGAGTAGATATTTACTTTGTATTTATACAAAAATAGATTTAAGATGTGACTGCATTGTTATGCATCCTCTATAGTTAAAGAAGCAGAAAGTTCACGCACGACTTCCAGCCAGTGTAGTGAGGGGACTGAAGAGTTATGTGCGATGTCTTAATGTCCCTCCCTAGCTAAGAGGTCTTGGCAAAGCCTGCAGCCCTCAGAATGCCCAGTTGCTTCCTCAAAAGAGGGCTATCGCCTAATGCCCAGAAGCCACGAGGGTCAGACCAGACCAGGAATCACAGAGGGTAAGCTGAGTGGCGGAAGCCCTACCCAGCCGTGAGATGGGCATGCTGCACTCCAGGGACGTCCTCCAGCAGATCCCTGCTGTCACCGCAGGCTGGACACATGGTGTTTGAGGGCCCCGGTTTTCTCCCAAGTGTATAGAAGTTGCTGGCCTGATGCAGACCCAGAGGAATTGGTGGAAAGTTTCTCGGTACAAGAACCTCTCTCAACTTCCTCAGCTCAATGCCAAGGGCAGATGTCAGTTGGTGACTTGGGTCACACTGTCACATTTTTGACCAGTTATGGTGGCTTGGATCATTCTGGAATCTCATTTCAGACAGCTGCCATCAGTTTTCTGGTCACTGCCATTTGTGCAGCACTTTCTGTATCTTGTACCCAGCACTTCATGCACATTAACTTATTTAAGCTTCTGAATGGAACCACAGAATACGCTTTGGTGCCACACTTATGATAAGGATATAAAAACTAGGTCAAAGAGAAACTCTGTAATTTTCTGGAGGACACAGAGGTGAAAAGCAGTGAAGCTGGAATGTGTAACAGGCTTCTTGGTGCCTGAGTCTTTATGTGTACGTGCTGGGTCATACTGATAGGGCCATGATGTTAGCGGGAGAGGGAGTTAGTTCCAAACAGTACCCACTGTCACTGAGCCCTTGTTGATTTAAGAACAGCTCTTCCCCTAAACCTTGCCACTGCAGGCATGGTTCTAATTCTGCATCCACAGCCTCCGAAAGATATGGTGGCCCAATCCCATGGACCCAGGAATATGCAACTTACCAGGGACTTTGCAGATGAGCTAAGAGGCACTTGGCAGGGGTACCGGAGGGTACCAGGTAGACTATGTGGTCATATGAGTCTTTAATATCAAAGAAGCTTCCCTGGGTGGGTCAGAGAGAGGATGTGATGATGGAAGAAGTGAGCAAATCTGAGATCACAGCCTGGAAAGGACTCTGCCACCCTTGCAGGCTTTGTAGATGGAGGATGTGGCCACCAGCCGAAGAATGTGGGCGTCTTTCAGAACTGGGAAGGCAAGAAAATAGATTTTTTCCCTGAGAGCCTCCAGAAAAGAACTCGGTCCTCACAACACTTGGATTTTTTTACTCAGTCCTGAATTTATCTTCTGACCTCCTGTACTATAAAATAACCCAACTATGTCATTTAAACCACTGTGCCTGGTGTGCTTTGTTAGGGTAGCAATACGAAACCAATGCAAGATTCAAGGCAGAACCAGAAGCCCCCATCCTTAAAGCCAGCCAGTCTAGCTGCTCCCTCCCATGGGGAAGGAGGATTGTTAGGGGCAGCATTGTGTTAGGGGTTTTGCTGTTGTTTCATGTAGCTTTGTTTTCCGGAATGGTTTTGTTTTCCCACTGCAGGGATGCCTGCTCTCATGCTGGGGCAAAAATAGTTTTGCAGCCCAGAGGATAAATGTGCTGCTGATACATCAGAAGCAAAGGAATCAGAGTATCTCTCCCACTGCTCCTGTTGGCTGTGACGTAGAGGTGATGGTGATGGTGTAGCTCAGGGGACAGGCAGCCTGGGTCACATCCCAGCCCTGCAGTCCACTTTCTGCATAGCTCTGTCTCAGGGTCTTACCCTCTTCCTCTGCAACCGGGAATAATAGCATCTTGGACCTCCCGGGACAGTGTGAGGATTTGTGAGTAACATACGTGAAGTACTCAGAACTTAGCGCATAAGATGTGCTCAGTGTTATTCTCCACTCGTGCACATGACTCCCACTTACTGCTCTCCTGATACTTCAACCCCAAACCAGAAGCCAGCAGTAGCCAGCACTTGTCTGACATCCTACGATCATAGGTTTTGGCTCATTTCATCATCGCAGCTTCCCTGGGAGGTGGTACTGTTTGATGCCTACCTTGTGGGTCAAGTCGAGAGAGGTCAGGCCATTTGACCAAGGGTGTGGAGTCATCAGATGACAGCGGGGCTGGAACTCAAAGTCAGGAGGTCAGACGAGAGCCAAGATGTTGTTTAAACTCCTCCACTTAGTGTCTCGCCTTCGTCCTTTATCCCAATTGTACAGTGGTGAAATTGTCGCGGCAGTAATGGCCTCACAGAAGGCAGGTAGGTGGGAAGAATAGGAATCCAGAGACGGAAAAAGTAGAAATGAAAAGTTGGAACATTGGTGCTGTTTTTAAACCTCCACCACCCATAGCCCTGGCCAGCCGGCCCTGGGCAGCTTGAGTCTGTGTCTTCATTTGTCACATGGAAATCAGGCCCAAAATCGGTCACCACGAGCACCTGGTGAGCAAATTCTGGAACAACACCTGCCCGGGGCTTGGTGGCCTGCGAACTCCAGCTCCCCCTCCCATCACGGTCACCATTCGGGAGGCAGTGGCATTCACCAAGTTAAATACCTTTGCGATCCCAGGATTCCGCATCAGACTGGAACAGGTCTGTATTTTTTCACTCCTTCCTTAATATTACCATTTAAGTACCAGAAACTACAAACAAATTAGAATCAGAGGAACTCTTACAAATCTTCCCCAGAGAGGGCTGGGAAGGCCAGCGGAGGGTTATCCTGAACCCCGCCCATGTCCCACCACATGCTCCACCCCCATGTAGCTCCAGCCACATATGCAAACCTCCCACAGACCCTTTCACGATCCACCCGTAACTGCGATAGCAAAACACGCTCCGTATTAGTAACAGCTTTATGCAGGCCTTCTCCCTTAACCCTAAATCCTGCCCCCACTGCTATTCCAAAAGGAATACTATAACTGGCTGTTTGCCATCATAAAGACGGAGGAATTTTGGTTAATTACATTTAGAAGGGGGAAAGTATATTGAAAGAGATTTTAAATTGCAGAATTAAAAAAACGTGCAAACGTGAGATTTTTTTCCATTAACATCCTCTCCTTCGGGAGACGTCTCCCTGTGCTGCAGCCGAGCCATCTGCAGGGGTACGTTCCCCTTCTGTAAGCTGTGGGGTGGGGTCTGCACTCGCGTGGCTCACTCTCAGGTGCTGAGAAAGCAGCAGCCCCCAGTTGACTCTTTCAGGGACCCTGATGTGAACCTTCCATCCTCATACCTTGTTTCAAAGGAAATGACTCCTGGAAATAAAAGATCGCCGGTCTCTGGATGTCCCGCCTGGGGCTGAGATATAATCCCAATGAATAGTGTTTAAAACGCAGCCTTGGAAAGGAGTTACTGTTTTCATTTCTGCATAATCCATTTCCGGTTCAACACTAGTGGCAGTCAAGACAGAGCCTGTTCCGTGCAAGTTTCTCCAAGTCTTTTTCTTTATTATTCACTGTGGTTACCAGATCCTGGCTGTGTGACTGTTTAACTATCAGGAGTACCCTTGAGAAAGGTCCCGGGGGTGGTCACGTTTAGTTTAATGGGGTAGTGACATTGAAACTGCTCAGCCACCCTGTCTAATATAGAGGCTGCATTCTAGAGGCCACATGAGAACCTCATCAGGAGATAAGGTGGAGATCGCCCAAGCCCCTCCCTGGGATCCCTCTGCCTATATTTTTGGTTTATGTTTGTTTGTTTGGTTGGTTTGTCGGCTGGTTGGTTTTGCTGTACCAGAAATTAAATCTAGGGCCCTCACACTCAGTGCACCCCCAAGCCCTTTTCTTTTTTGAGACAGGTTCTCAGTAAGTCACTAAGTTGCACAAGCTGGACTCAAACGTGCAGTCCTCCTTCCTCAGCCTCTCAGAGGTCTGGGATCCACTGCCTGTGAACACTGCAGATCCAGGCAGCTCGCTGCTTCAACCCCATGTCATGCATCCCCAGGGTTAGAGTGGTACCTGGTATTCGGGATGGGGAGTTCAGATCTGGAATCAGAAGTCCTTGGATTTGAATCCTAGCACTGCCGTATGCAAACTGGTGACACATACGAAAATTGTTCACAGTCATTGCCTTTTACCCTAGCAATCCTTCTTCTCCAAAGCTCCTCTTAAGAAATTAAAGCCTCAATACCTGGGTACAAGGATGTTGCCCAAGGCACTATTTCTCATAGGTGCAAAACATAAAGGAAAATATTAACTGTCCACCATACTACAGTGCACTACAAGCACTCTATGAATTATCATGTGGCTTATAAAAATAACTGATAAAAATCTGTTATCAGCCTGAGCAATGTGCATGCCATTGTTTTGCAAAGAAAATCATAAAAAGGCCCAGCGTGTGTTTTTATAGAGTTCTGTAAGGGTAGTAAAAGGCATAGACAATGTGCACCACTGTTTTCTTTTAACAGAAATAGAGATTAAGAACAAGGAAAATTACTCATCAAAGAATGTTACAAGTGAAAGCATTGTCTATGAAATGGCCAAGTACAAAGACAGAGATGAAAAGAAATGTCAACAAATTAGCATTGATTTGATCGTGTTATGATAGAACTCTAGCCAGTGCTTTTTGCTCAGATTTCTTATTTAGTATTGTGTATGTGATGAAGTAACATCATTAAAATCATACTTATAAAGAGGTTAGAAAAATACAGTCCTCATTAAGTAGGGAGGAGAGCAAAAGACTAATCGAGAAGGTTGTTTCCAGGCCAAGGATTTAGCTCAGTGGCACTGCACCTGCCTTGTAGGCACAAGGTCCTGAGTTTGATCCCAGTACCAAAAAAAGAAAGTTTCAAAGTGGGTGGGGAGTCTGGTGGCCTTGCTAGAGTGACAGTGCAGAGGCAGGGGCTTCTCTGAACCCCATCCCGCACCCTCCACCATTCCCCAGCTCTGCACACTTGCTCCTGCTGGGATGGCCAAGACATTCATATAGTTTAAATGAGCATTTTGGCGGTGTTCAGCTCCCTGCTGTTCATGTTCATTTTTAAGATGGGAAACACTGTTCCTGCAAGTCTGAGCAACAGGGTGGGAAATCTCAGCACACAGAGTGGCTGTAAAGTCAATCTCTCTGGGCCTCCGTGGCAAGAATTTCACTCAGTTGCCATCAAGCTGACCTTGGGCGGGGATTTACGTTCTTTTCATATTAGACACCATCTTCAGCATGTGGGCAGCATTTCCCGCTGTGTCTGAAGCCAGCGGCCTCTGAACCGGAGCATCAGAATAGTGAGCCCGCTGGAGCTTTGTTTCCTGGCGACACCGTGACTCTCCTGCAGGACCCCAGTTGGCCTGCGTCTTGTTGATGACCAGTCACTAGGGTGTGTTTTACCAATCTGCCTCTCCCTCTACCTAGCACTTTGCCTTTTGCATCAACCTCTCCCGCAGGTGACTTCATGGCAGGTGTTTTTACTCCCCCCGCTATCATCACTGACCCTGCGGGGATGCAGAGTTTGAGCCCTGCAAGAATTCACCTAACTCATTTTCTAGCTGGCCCCTGAGGTCCACAGAGGGGCAGCAACTTTCCCAAACCACTCAGTTGATCATAGCAAAGCTGCAGGAGCCAAAGGGTCTTAAGACTATTCAGCCAGAGTTTACCAGGCCATCCCAGTCGGCCACCTGCCACCTCCATATTACAGTGACATCTGCCGGCAAGCGAACCCCTGGCAGGGAGTAACCCCAGGAAGGTGACAGGCCAAGGCCTGCAGAGCAGAGCTGTGGATCCCTACAGAGCTGTGGATTGAATGCCAGTTCCTTCGTCTCTTAGCCATGTGGCCGTGGCTAGGTTCTGTCACCTCCGTCTCTATGCCTCCCATTCCTGTCCTAGAAAGCGAGGAGACTGAGAGTATTATTCTCAAGGAAGGGCTGAGTGCTGTGGGTTGGGTGAGGTCCTTGGCGTAGCCTGCATCTGGTAAATAGCCACATGTCACCACTGCTGCCACTGAGCAATACATCTGCCTCCATGGTGCCAGACACACAACTTCAGCCCAAGGTGCCCTCTGTGCCTGCCCACATGTAACAGGACCCCTGGCCTCCACCAGTCCTTAAGACCAGTCTGTCTGGCCTTCTAGTCTTAACTTCTCCTGAGGGATTGGCACAGCTTGAGGTGCGCAGTGTGAAAGGAAGATCACGACTCTGGAGGGGACCTGAGAAACACCTCCTAAAGCCGCCGGCATCCTCCTGCCCAGAACCCATGAGTTCTTCGCCTTACATGGCTGAGTTAAGGAGCTGGAGGTGGGGAGAGTGACCTGAAAGTGTCCGGGTTGGCTCTAAACATAACGATGCAAACCAGGTAGAGCTGCTTTGACTGCGAAAGAGGAAGGGGGTGATGCCATGCAGCTGTGAGCCAAGGAATGAGGACAGTCGGAGAAGCGGGGAAAGACAGGCAGCAGATTCTCCTGGCAGAGCTGCTGGAGCATAGCCCTGCCTGCTGCCATCGGAACTTCAGCCCTGAGAACTGAGCGTGAACTTCTGGCCCCAAACCATTAAAGAATTAATCTGTGTTGTTTAGAGCCAGCAAGCATGCATTAATTCACTAGCCATAGAAAACCCATCCGGTGTAGAAGTCACCACTGTGGTGGTGTCACCCCCACCCAGGGTTAGAAGAGGCTCCTTGCACCCTGGAACTCAGCTCTGAAGCATCCGTTACACTGGAGACCTTTGGCCTATCATCCAGCACCTGTAACCAGGGATGTGGTAGCCCCCAGTAAAATATCACTGGATCTGTGAGCATCTGTCTCCTCAGAGGGACACGTCAGGCTTCAGCGCTGTGTCCAGAGCCCCTGGTTCAGCACAGTGCGTGTGCCAGGTTCTCCGTCACAGCTGCTGAACAAATGGCCATTTGCCTCCCCAAATGGACGGCCCGTCCCCCAAGTCAGCACAAGCCAGTGCCAGCTCTGCAACACCCAGTGGGTACTTCATGGTCATCTGAGGACCTTCTGCCTGAATAACGAGGCTGGCCCTGAATGGCGCCAGCACTTTGTAGAAGGAAGTCAGCTGTGTCACAGGCAAGAGCCCATGGCCTCCCTGCATCTGGGCAGCGGCCCCCAGTGTTCCTCACATAGCCCCATGGTGGCACAGGTGCTGCGGAGAAGCTACCCACGGAGGTCTGAATGCAAGGCCTCAGGCACTGCTGAAAGAGCCTGGTTATCACGCTCTTCCTGCTCCTATTAGTGTCTGCCTGAGGTCAGCTCTCATTCAGGGAGAAGAGAGCAGGACCCATGACTCTGCCTTCGGCACTCTTGTGTCAGCCAGCCAGCAGGTGACAGCTGTCAGTGTTGTGACTCAGACAAGGGCAAACCAGGAATCTCCTGTCCATGCGACATTCCACTTTATGTCGGTCTTGACGACATTTAAATGAGCTCCGGAAGCTTGACTCAGTGGGACTCTCAACCCCAGCCCACAGCTGCAGAGAAAGACGGGTACCAGGACAAAGCTGTCCCATGGGCGTTCCCCAAAGGCCAGGTGGCAGGGCTCCCTCCCCTCCCTCTCCCTGGGCTCCCGTGGCGGGTGCTGCAGGAA